TATTAGCCAGTCCTACCAATATACAGGTGAAACTAAAAAAATTATAATATTGTGCAAAAGTTCCTTTATTTCAGTAATACAACTTAAAAGGTAAAACTAATATATGAGCTGGATTCATTACATGCAAAGCGAGATAGTTCAAGCTGTGATTTTCATGAGCTGTAAGCCATAATCATCACAATTATGACAAATCATGGCTTGAACTATCTTGCTTTGCATGCAATGAGTCTATCTCATATATTAGTTTTACCTTTTAAGTTGTATTACTGAAATAAATGAACTTTTGCACAATATTCTAATTTTTTTAGTTTCACCTGTATATTGGTAGGACTGGCTAGCTCTGTGATGATGAACCTATGGCACACATGCCGCAAGTGGCAGAGCCATCTCCCCAGGAATGCGAGCCATTGCCCGTTGCTCTTCCAGGTTCTGGTGTGCTGGCCACTTGATTTTCATGCGCGCGGGAGCGCCGGAAACCAGAGCAGCACACATGCCAGCTGGAAGACCAGATGGCTGGTGCATATGTGCGTGCCGAAAACAGGAAGATCATTTTCTTTATGCTTGGGGGTGGCTGCTCTTTTGGTTTCTGATGCACTTATGCACAACAGCCACTGGTCTTCATGTGTGCATGCATGCCAGAAATCAGAAGGGTAGCTGCCTGGTGCATATGCGCTCACCGGAAACAGGATGATCATCTTCCTGGCACGTCCATGGGCACTGGGTGGCTGCTCTTCTGATTTCCAATGTGCATATGCACAATGGCCAGCTTGTCTTCACATATGCATGCCCCCCAGAAACTGAAAGATCAGGTGGCCAGTGTCCATGCATGTGCCAGAGATTCATCTTCCTGGTGCGTGCATGCACACTGGGTGGCTGCCCTTCCGATTTCCGGCACATGAATGCACACTCCCATTTTGGCACTTGGCTAGCTCTAAGTATGTGTCCATGGGATTTCAATATGAATTCCCAAAGAAATTAAATACATCTTTGAGATTAAGTGTTCATTAATTTAATAGCATGCTGTGAAGGAGATAACATGTTACATGACTATTAAAGAGCATCTGTAATTTACATGTTTAAATATACTATTTTACTGTTAATGGTACAATATTTTAATAGATATTTATTTATTTATTGAATTTGTATTGTCGCTTATTTGACCATGGCGACTCAGGGCGGCATGCAGAATATAAAACCACATTTAAAACAAAAATAAGAAAAAGAATCAAATAAATTAATATAATACAATATAACAAAATCATCTCCCTGCCCCCATCTCGGCGACCGCAGAAAACAAGCCATTTAATGGGTATTGAGTATGAACACATGTTTCAGAAAGAATAAGCAAAAACATAGCTCTTCGTCAATCTGGTACTTAAACACATAAGAATCATGGTTGTCAGATTTTAAAAGTTAAATGCTATTTTTGAAGTAATCCAATTTTTAATTATAATTTGAATCCTTTATGATTTTTACAGCCATTACTTAATCTACGAGACCTAGGACTGAGTGATCTGAAAATTAGCCAACTTAATGAAATAGTGAACAAACTGATTCCTGGCTTTGGTGAAGAAAATAAAATACCCTCACATTGGCAAACGTCATATGTATCAGCAGAGTCTTTCTTTGAAAATAAATATGGTATGCTTTGGGATGATATTTTAACAAATCTGGGCAGAAAAGTAACTTAACGTATTCCTAAACTGTATCACCCATTAGCAATGCTTCTTATTAAGGACAGCAATATAATTAAAATTATTATATTGCTGTTTCACTGTAATGCAGTTCAAAATGCAGAATTCTTGCTAGTTTTGTTTCTAGATTTTGCCATTCTTCATCTGGGGTCAGCTTATTTAGCATTACCTTGTTTACATTATTTAGCTTGATTATACTGGAATTAATCTTGACATTGGTCATAGTATCAAACATAATTAATGATAATTTGTAAATAAGGTATTAATAAAATCATTATTTTAAATAAATAAAAAATTAATAGCATTGTCAGGCCCAAACAACCAGAGTCACACTTTAATCCAGTTGTCTGCTTTATTGCTCAAGCATACGGACAGGAATTTTCTGATAATTGCATCTGGGTGATACTAGATAAAGTTCCACAGCATTCAAGATGGGGGTGGGGGTTGGACCTCACCTTGTGCTCACATAGAAATTCTAGACTATGTCCCTGTTTGACCCTAGCTTGGCCAGTGAAAATTTTGCCTGCTCTTAGCCCCTTAATCCATCTTATTTCTAGTTCTGTTGTATTCTCTTGGGTCTGAAATATCTCTTGTGTTTATAGAATTAGTATTCGTATTAGTATTGAAGTATACTTCAACATAATATATGCATTTTCCAAATATTAAGTAGGCAATCTTTGTGTAGCTTCTTCAAAACTGCTACACTAATACACACGAGAGAGAGAGTGTGTGTCTCTCTGTGTGTGTAAACATATAATATGATCCTTCAGAACAACCCTTATTAGTTCACTGTATGTTGTTGCTTCTGATTACAATATAGTTTGTGATGAAGGAGTCCTGTCCACACTGAAACTCACCGAATTACTTTGGCCTTATTACTTTTCCTTATCTCAATCTACTTGACAGGATTGTTAGGATGAAATATGAACTCCTAGAGAAAAGGCAGGATTGAAATATTAACAATGTAAATAAATAATTTCACATTTATTCGCTTATTCCATTCTACCATGTACAATGAGTGATATCCTGGCTAATGTTTTGGTCTGACATTGGAGTGACATATATTATAGTCCTCTTTTAACCACTCTTCCTTAGCCCAATCCACTTCACAGGAGTATTGTGGGGTAAAATGAGAGGATGAAGTAGAGCATGCCACTTTCAGTTACTGAATGAAAGATGGAGCACATTTCAAAAAATTATATGGCTTTTGTTATGATAGAAGCTTCACATAACAATCATAATTATTCACTATAGAGAGAATGTTTTTACAATTGTAGAACCTTTATCATGTGTTCTTCCATTATCACAGTATAATTGTATTTGCAGCTACATAGCAAGATTGTTCGAATTTGCATGTACAGGTTACTCTCGATGCCTAGGCCAGTTATACTTAAAATCTATATGTACTCCAGTTTTCATGTTTAGAGTTTGCTAAGTGTAGTTCCCTGTTTAAATCTATATGAATTGCACAATTATAACTTACCTGATGACATGGGCTCGTAATGGTGGATAAACCTTTGCTATATTACAAATTTCCAATGTAAGTAGCATTTGGGAAGCTATATTCAAAGCAAAATTAATACCTGCTATTGTAATTGATTTAAAGAGTTTTTGGTTTTTGTGCTTGCACAGTTACTTAAAATTCAGATCCATTGGTCCACATAGTTAATTTTCTCCATATTGCATCCCATCTTTGGTTCTACTTATAGTAGAAGTTGGTCCTTAAGAAGCCTTAAATCCATTAATCCAAATTTTAAACAAGAAATGCATAGCATGTATCATGTTTAATGTTATTCACTTTCCTGAGTTTCGAGAGGAAAACAATCTGTTTACTCATACACAAATCTCTTATTCTTTGTTCTCTTTCAGCTATCATACCACAATTTTAACTAAGCATAAAATATTCAGAATGATTTTTTATTTTGTATACTGTATATCATCATTGCAAAATTGCTTATTTAAGGGACCGCATTAGCACATTGTCTAATTTACCAAAGCAGTATCCTATCAAACTTCATAAATCTGAGATGTATGTATGTGTATAATTTAAAATTTTTAAATGCACAAGATCTTATTCTTGCAAGGCCTAAGTAAATGCTAAATAAGCTTTTTATTCTTTCCTAGGTTTTGCAGATACATTTAGGGTTTTACGTTCCTCTTACCTCTACAGGCAGCATCCTAATCCTCCCCAGAGAATATGTTCCAGTCTTCAACATTGGCCAGGTAGGAAGTCAAAATGTTTCTTTTTCCAAAGTAAGAGAAATATGGCTCGATCCAGAATTTCCATGAGTAGAAGATGTCTTCCTCTATATAAAGGAGGTTGCTAAAAGATTTTCCAAAGAAGAATAATTCCCTACATTCCACTTGGTAGCAGGAGAACTAGTTCTGTTTTCCTTGTTTTACAACAGTTCATTTAATGACTGTTTGAAGTTATAACAGCACTGAAAAAAGTGACTTACTATCTTTTTTCACACATATCAATGTTGCCACATCCCCATGGTCACGTGATCAAAATGGTTGGCAACTTTTAGCGGTCATTAAACTGTTGTAAGTCGAGAACTTCCTGCAGAAGCGAATGCAAAAGCAGTATTAAAGAAATGGTATCTTTTTAACTAAGACGAACAAAACATTCTAAAAAAAACAGTTCTAAAGGGCTGCCTTATGCATTATTGTTTTGTTAGTTCTTTTCCTCTGCCAGTTCTTAACTTACTCCCTCTCTGCTGTAGGTATTTCCTGAAGCCTTCTTACTCCTCAGCTGCATATCATCTAAGTTCTTTCTTTCTTCGTTCTGATCTGAATTGCTCTTTCTTAGTTCTGATCTGAATTGGTCACTTTCATAGGCATCTCCTGCAGGACTTGAAACACAAACAAACACAAAGTAAAAAAAAATCATCTTATAAAGCTTATCTATAACATGCTTACATGATAGTTGGCAGGTTGTTTCCATTTATTTTATTTTCCTTACCTTGTTGCTCTCATATCCCTGCATTCAACCATGAGTTCCCTCAAAAAAAAAGTATATTTCTAGAAAAAACAAACAAACCAAGTTCTCAAATATGTTAGCTCACACTGCTACAATGGTTTTTAGGTAGCTATTTTGGTATTGAAAATCTGAAACTGCACACAGGATTACACATTGAGAAATGATTATACAGCTTTTTATATTATAATATCAATTAAGGATTAGCAGCTAAGCAGTATGCCAGAGAAGCAATTGAACACATCTCACTGTTTTTTCTCACATGTTCTTGAAGTATAACATCTCCTTTTCTGTATTAAGTTTTTATTCAGTCTCGAGGTTTTAAGACTCTGAAATCAAGAGCAAGACGGCTACAGTCCACATCAGAACATTCAGCAGAAACAGAAGATGTAGCTCCCTCATTTGTAAAGGTAATTATGAAAATGTGCGCGTTATGTTGGTAACAGGATCTTATGCCTTCTCTGGTGACTGTTACCATGTAATGTCTTCCACACACATACAGTAGTACATTTGAGGTTAGCAAATGCAGTTAAATGTCAGACAGCTATAAAGTTCCATAGAAATAGAAACATTACCAAGTGCTGGTGACTTTATGCATCAAGTTTGTTATGCAAATAGGATTAGATTCATTATATTTTTAGTACAGGCAGTAAAGAATGAAAAAATATAAATTAATGAATATTCAAACTAATTTCTGTAAAATACTTGGAACAGACTTCACCTAATTGATGTTTGTTTAAAGTTTAATAACATTTATGTGCTGCCCAATTCCGTAGGACTCCGGGCGGCTAACAATACAAATAAATCAAAAAGAAGAGAAGGAAAGAAAAGATAGATTTAAAAAACACACCATGCACTCCGTTCCAAGTGGGGCTGGTCCATTTTTTGGGGTCAACAGCCCCAGGCCTGCCGGAACATCCAGGTTTTAGTGGCCTTACGGAAGGCCGAGAGGGTGGGAAGGGTCCGGATCTCTGTGGGTAGACAGGGCCAGGGCAGCTACAGAAAAAGATCTCCCCCGAGTAGTCGCCAACCGGCATTGCCCGATCGACGGCACCCAAAGGAGACCCAATCTGTGAGATCTT